GGCGTTGTTGGAACTGGAATGAGGCAATCCTACACTGCCCCAACTACCCTGGAAAGGGTTTCTAGCTCACTGAACTACTAATGGGAGATTAACTTCACGATAATTGTGGCTGAACCTAGAGATTAAGAGCCATGAGAATGGTGACATTATTTTTAGCTTAATGTCACCATTAACACACACAATACACATTGGACATTATAATCTATTTACATAAAATTATGATGGCTCCCTTACTTCTTTCATGTTCCTAAAAGTGAATCATGAGAACATGTGTTTCTAAATTTCCTTTTCCCAGTTCCAGAGCTATCAGCCTAGAGCCATCAGCAGCAGATGCCCTCCTGTCGAAGACTAGGGGAGAGACCATTAGGAAAGAATTTAACCAAATATAATTTTTAGGTTCAATCAAATCAGTTAGTTCTGGGTATGTGATGGATGAAAAGGCTGTGAAAATGACTTTCCCTAGGGTGCCACTGCTGAAATGAGTCTCGACTAAGAGTTGTGGGCAGCATGGAAGCACAGACTAGAGTGCAAGTATATGTAGAAAATGTTCAGAAGGAAAATCTTACCTTCCATGGATAAGTAAAATGATTGGAAAGAGCGAGAAAAACTAAATAAATAAAAGGAAATCACATTGCATCTTTTTTGTGTACTGTGCTCTGCATCCTAGAAAAACTCAAATTAAATTAGAACACCACAATGAGATCTAGTTTTAGAAAACATTTTTTTACTAAAAAAATAAGGCCTCTTCAGACCTGTTAACATGATGTGAGTCACACATGAATATATCTAAATTACAACCAAAACATGACTGACATAAAATCATTGCCAGAGAGTTTGGAGGCTGTTTTTTAAGAAATAAATATTACTATTTAATCCACAGTGGTCTCTGCTGAGGTTTAATCCTGGTAAATAAAGTTCCCTTTGATGAGTTGAGAATTCTGAGTTAGGATATACAAAATGGACTTGGAGCTTTGGTTTGGAGGAGATGATAAAGAGGGTTCTGGGTGGGACATGAAAGGGCTGAGAAGGTGACAGGAGGCAGGATAGGGTGACAAGGCCAGGGAAACTGTCACAAACTGAAGGAGATCTCAGAGTCAAAACAGGTCATCTGTGCTGCTGTGATGTATGCCTGCCACCACTTTGACCTCCCACAAACATTCAGCTAAGTCAGCCTTTTACGAGCATGGTGACCATGAGCATATGTTCTTGGTAGAATTCACAGAAATCTCGGAAGGGGGTGTCATTGTGCCTTTATAGGGTGAGTGAGTGAGGTTTGAATAATCCTATCCTGGTTTAAGGCAGACCCCAGCAGATACCGGGTTACACTAGACTATTTAACAGGGAACTTTATATACATATAAACATGTTTTTTCCTTATACCACTACCTAAAAGTTCATATATTTTAAATTAAGGAGATTGAGATAGAGATGAAAATTCTATATAAACAGTTGAATCAGATTTTTAAAGTACAAAACATGAGTATGTTTCACATAGTTTTCTATATGAAAGTCTCTCTTGAGATTTGATGATGTCTGTACCGCAAGAGATCTCCCAGTGAGTAGCCAGAAGATGAAGAATATTCCCAATATGCTACTGGGAAACGTGGAGAGTGATGTGGTCTTAATAGTACATATTCTTATCCCACCAGCCTGTAGAGGTAGAAAAAATAAATAAATAAATGGAAAGCCTGTGGAAAGAGGTACAGAGGTTAAAAAATCATATTGCTGGGCCAGAGGTATAGCTTAATGGTAGGGAGCTTGTTAGCATGCATGAGGCCCTGGATTCAATCCCCAGCATATGAGAGAGAGAGAGAGAGAGAGAGAGAGAGAGAGAGAGAGAGAGAGAGAGAGAGAGAGAAAACCACATCATTACTCACTTCCAGGGTAGAGCCTGATGAAGAGTTTTCGCACTTCATCATACACCCAAATCAAGATGGCATGTGGTATAGCCACGAACCAATACTGAGGCCTGAAAACAGAGAGGAGGAAGATGAGCCCTAGTTTATTCAAAGGGATAGTCCAGTCCCTGGCCAATGAGGAGGGCAGCTTCATCTTCATTTTCCTTACCTTACTAAAAAGAATTACAAATCCACTGAATCACACAACATAGACCTGGAAAACTCCTTATTTAACCTTTACTATAACTGCTAAAAGCAACATCTGCCTTTGACACAACCTATTGGATGAGGGTGGAGATGACTTAGTGAGGCCTGAAAAACCCATTTCTTCTTTTGGAAAATAGGTAGGTCAAGGGCTGGGCTCTTAGAGCATGGGATCAGTTTGACTTCTTTGGAAAGACTTTGTTGGGAGGAGCTGGTGAGAATCCTAGTGTTTGTTTAGAACAACTTAGAACAGGGGCTGGCTCTTTGCTCTATGCTGTTAAAGCCAAACTCACCTAAGCATAGTAAAACTCAGGGCTGTGACGCTCCCAAGGCCATAGGATAGGATCAGTGCGATGATGATCTGTGAGGCGATTCCCACCCAGATGACTTTATTTCTGCAACACACACAAAAGCAAATGGATTCTGAATCCCAGTGGCTCCATGTCATGTACCCAGCAGACCATGCCACTGGAGTCAGCACCTTGTGCATTACAGTATGGCCATAGGTGGGTTATATATATGAGGTCAGGGATAGGAAGTACCTGAAGAGCCCCTGTTGGAAGATAGAATTTCTCCGAGTTTTCCTGATGATCAGATCTGCTATTTGCTGGATCATGATGCCAACAAAGAAGGCTGTGTATCCTGTCCACTCTAAGTATTTCCTCTGGTACCTTGTCTGTCAATGGGCAGAGAAAGATGAGATGTGAGGCCTTGAGGGGGAATTTCAGGGGGATTCCACTGCCCTTCTATAAAGCTTGACTCCTTCCCCAAACTCAGCCAGATTGAGGGTGGACGACCTCCTTGTGTTTGGAAAGAAATATCTTTTTCTTTGAATCAGGCAAATAGAAAAAGATAGAAACTTATTTGGCCCAACTGTTGGACTAGTTGTACTTGTGCACCATTGACAAAGCTAACTAAAAAAGTGAACTTTTGGTTTAGTTTGAGAAATGTGGCTAAGTCTCAGCAATGGCTAAACCAGTGTCAGTGAGGAACCACCAACACGATTAACTGAGCAGCTTCTAAAATTTCTTTCAAGGCTGTTTGGGAAAATAAAGGTTCTATCTTGGTTCAGGAAGGGCTTTGGAAGGAGGTAATAACTAAGTGATGATGGCAGAGCTCTCAACTTACCCATTCCTGTCCATAGCTGTCTTCTAAATCATTCATATCATCTTTTTCCCATTCTACCCGTAGGTTAATGAGAGAGGTGGGCCAAAAGCCTTCTTGTGCATAGACAGTGAAATATACAAGGAAAGCTCCCAGGGCTTGCATGAGACCTGAAGGAGTAAGAGATACAGACATATGATGACCTCAGAGAATTACCTTGCTTGTCCTGGGACTCCTCTCAGCCTCTCTTGCCATCCAACCCCACCCCAAAGGAAAAAACACATTCTTCCTGTGCCTAGGACTCAAATGAATTTTCTAGGGAGGGCCCTGTGTGACAAGGAGGAAATTCCCTCATCATACCAATGTGCAGGTAAGAGTAGATGGCAAGTTGCTCGTTTACCAATCTGTCTTTCTTCTTGTGGCGAGGCTTCCTGTTCATAATGTCACTTTCAGCTTTCTCATATGCCAAGGCAATGGAGGGGATCTAAAGGGGGAGAAGGCCCAGGAAGCTTAATACTGGAATGAATGCTCTGTCTACCCATAAAGTGATGGTAATAGCTAAGGCCTAGCAAAGGTAGGGGTCTGCTAAATGGTGATGGTGGGGATGTGGAACTAGTCCATTCAGGGTGCAGGCAATAGAGGCAACAGTTGGAATTCAGACTGTATGGTTTTAAGAAGAGCTGGCTTTAAAAAATCATTCTATTTTTCATCATTACATAATGTGTTCTAAACAATGATTATTATAAATAATAATCATTGTTTAATATTGTAATTAGTTCTAAATAATAGTTCTAAATAATAATCATTATTAAATATTATAATTAGTTCTAAACAATTATTATTATAAATCATAAACTACTTTTCCTCTCCAGGGACAATTTCCTGTACCACCTTTCCCCCTTTGGTGTGCAGCTAGATCCCAAAGCAATATGCTAGAATATTGGTCCTCTCACAGGTCCCACCACAGTGGACCAGTTAAAAGACAAGATTCTTGGACACGATCTCCAGACTTCTTGATTTAGGAAGTCAAGTTTTGGATCAGAGAATTTGCATTTCTAACAAGTATTACACTTGGAGAACCACTGCAGTAGAGAAAAATGAACAAACTTAAAGGGCTTGGAAAATGATCTATCTACTGTGGGGACCTTGACTACCCCCAAAGGTAAAGACATCTCTAGTTTCTCTGAGATGCAGGTATTATACTTGAGTACTATATAGAATGAGATGAGGAAGGAGGCAATTTACAGGCCTATTTTGTGTTGTGCATCTAGCTTTTTCTCTGTGGCTGTTTCTTCTTGTCTCAGTAAGTCAGACTCACATAGGGGACTTTCACAAAGCTTTGTTTAAATGGATACATACTGGAAGATGGGAAGATTTAGGTGGCAGTATTGTTGGATAAAGCTTCATAAGTCTTAATAATTGTTCCTTTGTACTGTGTGTATAGATAAAGAATCTGATATGGAGGCCCCTTAACTAACAAAGTCAGGAACTGTTTACTTGGGTGGTTATTTTACCTTGCCCAAATAGGGAGGGACATTTGGACTGGATCTGATCAATGGCATAATTTTTTGGAGGGTCAAGACTCATGTCTTTTTTGGTGAGAGGTGCTCTACCACTAAACTACATCCCTAACCCCAAGACTCTTTTCTTGAAAAGTTCTACATGGAGTAAAGTGGTATTTATTTATTTATTTTGGCTGGGGTTGAATACAGAGCCTTGTGCATGCGAGGCAAGCACTCTACCACTAAGTTACATCCCCAGAGTGAAGTGGTTTTAATTTCCAAACACTTGGCAAATGTCCTAAGTCTCTTGCTTTGGAGTGTGGTCTGTGGACTAGCAGAACTGGTGTCACCTGAGAGCTTGTTAGTAATGCAGAACTTCAGAACCCATTGCAGGGAAGTTTAAGAGCACTGACTATTATTGTCTATCTCATGGCCCTTGAAAGAAACAACCCTGAACTTTATATCCCCTGGGGCGGTTATCAGACTCTATTCCTTTTAGTGCCACTTACAATGTCTGTGCCCAGGTCAATGAACAGGATGGTGATGGTGCCAATGGGAAGAGGGAGCCCAACAATGATGTAGATCAAAAAGGGGCAAAGTTCAGCAATGTTCTTGGTCAGGGTATACGCAATAGTCTTCTTTAGGTTGTCAAAAATCAGGCGGCCTAGACAAAGATGTCTCATTATAGGACTTGCTTCTAGTCCCCCAGGCAACTCCAGTCCTTGGGAAGACACCCTGAGACTCTCACTCACCTTCCTCCACTCCTGTGACTATAGATGCAAAGTTGTCATCCAGCAAGACCATGTCGGCTGCATTTTTGGCAGCATCAGAACCTGCTATCCCCATGGCAATCCCAATGTCTGCTTTCTTTAGAGCTGGAGAATCATTTACTCCATCTCCTGTCACAGCAACAACTGCATCCTATGGGTACCCAGTGAAAAAACAAGACAGAGTAGGTCTAAGGGGCCATAGGATGAACAAGAAAAACATGGCCTGCCTTTCAATTTGAGCTGTAAGGACTACTAGAGCTCAAATGAAGGGCCCATTGGGAAGAAAAATAAAGATGGGAAATCTCAGAAACAAGATCAAGGAGCTCCAAACAAGCTGTGTTTACATGAAAAAAACAAAACCAAACAAAAACCAATATGTGTGACAAGTAAACAGAGGTGCCTTGCATAGTTGGCCCACCATACTGGTGGGTTCCATATCTGCAGATTCAACCAACTGAGAATAGGAAATATTGGAAACAGAACATGCATAGAATATTTTCTTGTCATGGTTCCCTAAACAATATGGTATAAGATTATTTTCATAGCACTTATATTGTATTTAGGTATTTGAAGAAATCTAAAGATTTAAAGTATATGGGAAGTATGTAGGTGCAAAAGAAAAAAAGTCCTCAAGAATCCCCAGGGATATTAAGGCACGACTGTATCACATATTTTGTGATATATTTTTATACTTCTAAATTTTCTACATCCACACCTACCACAGTGCAAATGCCTGGCTGTCAGAAACCCCAGGTACTCATGATAAAATGCAGAGAGATGGAGAATATGTGGCCATGAGAGGGTTTCCAAAGAGGACAGGGTGTCAGCCCACCTGATCTCTGCTCTGCATTTGCCCATGGACAGGATGGGTTTGGTCAGTCATCCACCCACCTGCCTCTGACAACCCTCCACAATGATCAGCTTCTGTTGAGGGGATGTTCGGGCAAAGACAATTTCTGGGTAGTTGGCTAAGAGCTCATCCAGCTGTTCTGGGCTCATATCCTTCAGCTCCATGCCAGTCACCACAGCAGCTTTAGCATCCCTACAAGGGCCAGAAGAAAGTAAGTGAGGCACAAAACCAGATCTTAGGTTGAAACACTGTTATGGGTAACAGTAAGCTTCTTTAATGTCATCACATAGAATATAACATCTCTGACACTTGATGTCTAGTGAGGTCTTACTGATGATACGTACTAGGGACACTTTGGTCTCCATTTCAAAATAGTAAACTGAGGCTAAAAAATAAGGCCATTTCCTGGTATCCTAGGAATCAAATGCCAAGTAGCCTTTTCTTTGCAGGAATGGACAGGAAGTGGTGCTTCATGGGGTTGTGGGCAAGGAAAAGCAAAGTCAAAAATCTGCCTTTTCAGGGTGGTGGAGTTCTTCCTTATAATGAATGAGGCCCTGGGTTTAGTTCCTAACTCCACAATAAATAAATAAATAAATAAATAAATAAATAAATAAATAAATAAATAAATAAATAAAATAAAAATTAAAAATGGGTCCTGAAATTCTCTTGTATCAATACACATAGGTAATAATTCTTTGCTGTTATTTCAGGTTTATAGAAGGCTACTGTGTGCAATGTGCTCTGTAGGAGGAAGTCTTTTTTATTTTTTATTTTTAGGTGGACACAATATCTTTATTTTTATTTTTATGTGGTGTTGAGGATTGAACCCAATGCCTCGCACATGCCAGGCGGGCGCGCTACCACTTGAGCCAAATCCCCAGCCCCAGGAAGTCTTCTTTGAGCAAAATTATTGTCTGCTGACTATAAAAATAAGGTTCTACAGGGCATGGTGACATAAACCTGTAACCCCAGCTAGATATTATAACAAGGATTTAAAATTTTTTTATTTTGAAACTGAGTCTTACTAAGTTGCTGAGGCTGGCCTCCAACTTGTGATTCTCCTGCCTCAGCCTCCTAAGTGTCTGGGGTTTCAGGCCTGTGCCAATGAATCTGACTTTAGGGATTCTTGATTATAAATATTTGGCTGTACCATTCCTTAGCTAAATTCCTTAGGAATTTTCTACCATGGTCCTGGCAGACTCCAGAATTCTTAACTTGGATTGTCAGGAAGGCCAGTGTGTGTGGCCTGAGCGGTTGAATTTTACCTCCTCTTGGCTCTCCTCCCCAGCCTACCAAATGGAGACCCTATACCTCCACTGCCCCAAGGACTGCACAGATCTTCCTTGTAGGAATAGGCATCTCTCACCTCAGTTTCTCTCAACTAAAGCTCCACATTTTAGCCTTCAAATCTCAAATCTGCCTTTTTCTTTAAGTTTATGTAAATTTTTAGTTTTTCAAATTTTGTTTTTCCCCTCTTGGTGCTAAATACTGCAATTCTAGCACTTGACTCAAACCACAAGTCTACATAACTGCTTGTAAAAAACAACAAGGTGAGGTGGAAAGGAAAGAATGTTTTCTTGCCCTTTTACAGCTGCCAGACTATATTATTATATCTTCATAAAGTCAGAGGTAAAGAAGGGGATAAAATAAAACATCCACAAAAGTATTCACTTCATTCTGCTGTTCAGTGTGGCAATTTGTATGAAAATGTATAATCCTATAATTTTAATTTTTTGAGATGAGGTCTTGCTATGTTGCCCAGTCTAGTCTTGAACCCCTGGACTCAAGTATACTCTGAGGTTTATACAATGATAAAACTGCATTTCTTAGAACTTTTCCCTGTTGTTAAGCTACACATGCTATATTTCATTGAATTTTGAAATTTCAGACAAAGAATACATATCAAGGTTCATTCTCATGGTATCAATAGAGTGCCTGGCACAGATGCATAATAAAAATTGAAATGAATGAATGAATATGTGAATTATACATCAAATCAGTCCAGCATTACCCTGAGATAGTGTTTGGCAAAAAGGTGATCTGCTCCAGAACCAAAAAAGACCCCATGGGTAAGAACTTGTGATATTGGTTCTGTGCTTACCGTTTGTCAACTTGCTCCACAGCAATGTTGAGGCGTTTTGCAATGTCTTCCACTGTTTCACTGTTGGCTGAAATAATCCCTACACTCTTGGCAATAGCTTTGGCTGTGATGGGATGATCACCTGTAACCATAATAACCTAGAACACAGATAACAATGACTTGTGGATAATGAGGAATTTGGCTGGCCAAAGTAGGGACAATGGTTCCATGTCACCTACTCTGCCAGGACTAGGTAGAATATTGTTAGCAATAGCTATTGTTTTCCCTATGGACAATTTTGATCTAAGATACAAGTACTATGAAGGACACACTGATCCCATTGAGTCTACCTTTGCTCCTAGGCTTCTTAGATTTCTTCCTCTGACATTGGAGAACACTCTTCTACTTCCATGTCACTGTATTTGTGAGGAGGCCTATAGATGTCTATTTGAGACAGCCCTGAGCAGCTTCAGCAGTCTTGATACTAATATGGTAGTATGGTAATAGAATTCATATTTTGGCTTAAATATCATGACAATAAATGGATTATGGAGGCTAAACCTCAAGACTAGTAAAATCTTTTATTATCTATCATGGTCTAGGGCAAGACATGGTTAATTCATGGCACTGGGAGATTCTTCTTGCCATAGTTTCTGTGGTGGTTCATTCCACATAGATACAATAATTTTGCTTTTATGAGATAGTTACTGAAATCTGAACACAGTGAAGATAGGGACTCAAAAAGGGGGGATTATGACATTTACTTGAGTAGACCTAAATACTGACCATATGCTACAACAATATTCTGATAAAGTGTTGCAACATAAATGGAGGACTTTTTGAATCAGGAAAATAACTCCCACCTTGATCCCTGCACTCCGGCATTTGGTAACTGCATCTGGCACAGTAGACCGAGGGGGATCTATCATCGACAAGAGCCCCACAAAACAGAGGTTGGAGGTAGGAAAGTTAATGGTGTCTATATCAAAGGAGTAGGTCTCTGGAAACTTGTCTGCTGGCAGGTAGAGATGACAGAAACCTGGAATGGACATGAATTTGGAAGTCAATGAAACTGGATAAGGAATGACAAAAGGAAAGAGGGCCTAGGGGCATGTAGTTCAGTGGTAGAGTGTGTGGGTTAAATTCTCAGAACCAAAAAACAAACAAACAAAAACAACAAAAGGAAAGGGCAAACATGTCGATACATTCTCAATCCTTAACTACTTTACCGATAAAGTAGTCATATACCAGAATCATTTAAATCCTTCAATTCCATAATATATATTTTCTTTAGGAAAGACACATTTCATTCAAAAATAATTTAGTGTGTGCTCAATTGGTTCTATGCTATGTTCTAGAGATATAAAGACCAAGACAAATAAAATGGATAGCATTTTATTCTGATGACTCCATTTAGTGGGCCAACAAAGCACTAAAGAGACAAATCATCAAAAGACATGCTATGGATTACAGAGTAGAGCAACACTTCAGAAATCTAGAGAGTCAGGAGAGATTTCCCAGGGGTTGGAAGGCCATTTTCTATAGAGAAACCAATACATGCTACTGCACAAAATGAGGAAAGAACTCAGGGGAGTGTTAAGAAGTCTAGTCCTTCATTAAGATAAGTACAAGAGGGCTGGGGTACAGCTCAGTGGCAGAGTGCCTGCTTAGAATGTGTGAGGCCCCACATTCAATCTCAGCACCACCAGCATGCGCACGCACGGGTGCACGCACACACATACACACACACAGTACAAGAGAAAAGCCATTAGAAATGGGGGTAGACCCATCCTTGTCTCCTAGGCATTAGCCTGTCTCAGGTTGGGGTAGAAAGGCATTCCTGTATCTGGTGACCTATATTTGGGTGACCCTTTCCTTGGCTTTTACACCAAATTAGTTCTCAGCATGGCCCACTGCTTTACACACTTCAGTAAACCAGACTTCGAGTGGTCAAACATGAGGATCTCGGAGTGACTCTATCAGATAGGGACTAACCCTGTGTTGAAAAGATTACTTGGTGCTGTGGGTTACTGAGGGCATACTTAAATCACTAACAGCTCATTTGTATACTTTATCTGCTTTACAAACTCATATACCTTTTAGAAACACATTCCATGGATTCCACATCTATTGGTAAGCATTTTCCTGTGATTAATGAACCTTATCCTTCAACTGTGAGCTTCTGTTTCCTTGAATTCATCATTATGTGGTTCTGAACAGGAGGTGCCATTTGGTCAATCCATGATTCTGACAATGAACCACATTGTCTCCCATGAAACCCCTTCATTTACCACAGTGGCTCTATTTTTAAGGTACCTTCCACCACTAACATGTCCTATCTCAGTTACTGGCATTACTTTTAATCCTACTTGCGAAATGGAAGGCTAAATCATTTTTTGTCAGTATTCTTGTCTAATCTATTACTAAATCTTAACCACTCTGCCTCCACGAAGGCTCTGACACCTGACCTCTCCTTTGCATTCCTGTAGCCTTGCCTCAAATTCCCACCCCCTTTTACCTGAATGAGTACAGTCACCTCCTGTGTAGGTCTCCTTACTACCACCAAAGATTATCCTTAAGAAGTATTGTTAACTCTAACCAGCTCCCCCTTGCTTCAAGACTAGGGTGTTCTTTACTCACTGCAGGATGAAACCCCAATTCTTTGCAACATATTCAAGGGCTCCATATCATGATCTCCAATCTATTTTCCAGCCCTTCTTCACATACCTGCACCATCTCATTTACCCTGCAGGTCTGTAGGAATTGGGTAGCTTCATCCTGCATGCATAAATCCTCTCTCTTTCTACCTCTGCTTGGCCTTTGTTGTTTCTTCTACATGGATACTCTCCCCCACCTCTCTGAATACCACCATTCAAGGTCCAGTTTTGAAATGTGACTCTTTCCATAAAGTCTTTGATTTTGCTTGTCTACAAGTGACTCCATTCTCCTTGGTGTCATCACATTTTTATATGTTACATCCTGTTTATCATATATGTGTATATTTTTTGCAGTGCTGGGGATCAAACATGAGAGGCAGTGTTTCACAAATGTGCTCTGCCACTGAGGTATAGCCCTAGCCTTTTGTGTCCTTCTTTATATGACTTATATGACCCATGTGATAGCACACTACTGTTAGCTCATGAGGCCGCCTATTCCATACCTCCTGGGAGACGGACAGGGGTCCGTGGCCTGTACTCACCCAACACACGCTCGCCCAGCCCACCCAGCTCCATGTAGGCTGTATGGAATTCCGCAGCGGTGCTTTTGTCCAGTGGCTGCTCCTGACCATTGATCATTATAGTGCTGCACTTCTCCAAGATCCTCTCGGGAGCCCCTTTCATCACCATGAGGAAGCGCTTGTCGTTGGGGTCCTCTGTCTCATGTATGGAGAGCTGGGAGGTCATGAATTGTAAGATAAAGCATCTTTACCATGGCCCTTCTGATTTTTGATAGATAAAGCATCTTTACCACGGCTCTTCCAACTAATAATAGGACAAGAAGGGGGAAACACACTCCTTTCTTTCCATGTGTCTTTAAAGTATAAAGGAAGGAGAGGAATAATGACATCCCCAGGCATATCCTATCCTTTTTATTTTTGTGTTCAATTAATATGCAGAATCCTAGACTTGACCCTGGCTCACAGGGGCACAGTGAGTTGGATTCCAAACTAAGTGAAGCTTGTCTTTCAGACAGACACTGACTGCATTAAGGAGGCCATATGTGGCTCTCCTTCTGGAACAAGCTCTCCCAGGGAGCTCTTGAGAGTCTGAAGTTCAGAGTCTCTGTGTCTTACCATCTTTCCCAGCCTCTGGTGAGCAGATAAGTATCTTTCAGACCTGAGCTCTTGGAGCAGTAGAAATTTTTTTTTAAATTTATTTTTTTGGTACTGGGGATTGAACCCAGAGGTACTTTACCACTGAACTTCATCCCTAGCACCTCCACTTTTGATACCAGGGATTGAACCCAGGGGTACTTTACCACTGAGCTATATATCCTCAGCCCCTTTTTTATTTTTGGTACCAGGGATTGAGCCCAGGTGCACTTTACCACTGAGCCACAACCCCAACCCTTTTTATTTTGTATTTTGAGACAGGATTCCTCTTAAATTGCTTAGGACTTCTCTAAATTGCTGAAGCTGGCCTTGAACTTGTGATCCTCCTGCCTTAGCCTTCCAAGTTGCTGGGATTACAGGTGTGTGTCATTACCCCCAGGTTATCCCCATCTCTTTTTATGTTTTATATTAAGACAGGGTCTCAATAAGTTGCTTAAGGCCTTGCTAAATTGCTGAGGCTGGCCTGGAACTTGTGATCCTTCTGCCATATCCTCCTGAGTTGCTGGAAAATTATAGGTGTGTGCCACTGTAGTTGGCCTCAGGAAACTCTGCTCCCCAAGCCCCAAGTAGCTTTTGAAATTTGCAGTCTTTGGTAGAAAATACAAAGAAAAATGCTACCATTTTGAGTTCAAGAATTGATTCCACATCAGTAGATCTTGGCCTCAGAGATATTAAAGATGAGTTCAATTGGAAAAAGAAATGATAGAAGGCAAATAGGTTGCCAGCTTTTAAAAATTATTATTTTTCCTTGTGGTCAAGTAAAGACATTAAAACAACAGCAACAGCAACCAACCAACCAAAACCCAACCCAACCCAACTCAAACCAAAAAATACTCCCAACTATTATCACTGTCATTTCCCAAAAGATGTGGCAGGGCGGGTGTTATAGTTCACTGGCAGAGCATCTGCTTAGCATGCACGAAGCCCCAGGTTCAAACCTTAACACTGCAAGCAAACTAACAAAAAACCCTAAGGCCCTGAAGCACTATTTTTATCACCATGTGTGAAGGTGTAAACTGAGATTCAGAGAAGGTTCAATGATATGCTCAAGTTCACATATGAGTAGGTACTAGGCTGGCATTTAAACCCAAGCTAGCAGGTTCTAGAGTACCTGTACTGAATCATGGAGATGTAAAGAATAATCTTTTCAATTACATGCATTCATCTTTATAGAAAACTATGAAGCATTTTCTTAATTTTCCAATGTGCCTTAAACAATATTCTCATGGAGTAGGGTGTGGTGTAATCCCAGCAACCTAGGAGGCTGAGGCAGGAGAGTCACAGGATCATGGCCAGCCTCAGCAAAGAAATTTAGTAAGGCCCTAAGCAACTTAGAAAGAGATGATGACTTAAAAAAAAATTCTCATGGACAGTCTGTTTGGAGTATGGCTATTCCAAGATCAATAAGATACAGATTTTCACTTTCTTTGCTTCCATTGAATGATACATATGATATGCCAATGATACATCCAATGCCACAATGTCTAAAGCTCTGTATACAGTGTTGCACTAATGGCCCCCAATATTGACCTGGGCTGACCTTTACAGTGGGAGCTCACATAAGCCCTCTTCCCCCTTTCTGATCCCAGCTTCACTTTCTACTCCAATGTGTTATACATGAGGCCTCATGGAACCTGCTCTCATTTCTCATGGCAGAAAATGCCTTTGCCATGGTAGATGGCACCTCAGGAACATTCTGAGTCTTATTTCTGCTTAAAAGATCACCTAGCCTTGACTTTTCCAGGTTGGACTACCTAGCCCCGCTTGAAATCTTGACTCTGGCCCTCTCTAGCTGTGTTCCAATCCTTTATACCTTAATTTCCTCATCCTCTACTTACCTTATAAAGTCATTATGAAAATGAATGATTGAATACATGTAGAAATTAGCACAAACTAGCTACCAGTACTGCTGTTATCTTATGATCATTACTCCTTCTAT